TTTTAGCCTAAAAAGTCGGTAACCATTTTCTTTTGATCAATTTTCATTAAGCACAGTAGAACTGCAGTATAGCTTATAAAGTACCAGTTATTAAGTCTGTATTTTACTTTTAATTACAGCTCTAAAAACCTGAAGTAAATCTGGTTCTTAAATAAACGCTGGAAGTGTAAAGATTAAAGATGCGTTATTGTCAAAGAAAATTTTTTAAATACCGTCTCTATTTTTACATCCACAACAAAAACAGTTTGAAACAAAAAGAGCTAAAATAACTTTTTCTGGGTGGCTAAGAGCTAAAGAAAGCAGTGCTCCAGAAGCTGAATTGTACAAATGGTGAAGATTTCTGACTCACTTTCGATAGTTGAATCTTACAAGGGCAATAAACTTCTGTGTCGACTTATTAATGCATTTAAAAGATGAAAATCTCTATTTTTTGTTGTTTGCAAAATTTTCTACAATAATTTCAACTGGATAACATACACATTCAGATTTGCGGGAAGAAGGATTTGGGTAACAAACCTATTTTTTTTAAAATTTTCTTAGTTAAGTTATTATTAAGCAAGATTTTTTAAACACTTCTCGAAATAGTGGTTGATTTTATAAAAAAAAAAAAAAGCAAAAAATAATTAAAAAAAGTAATTTATCATCAAAAAGCAAATGTTTTTCAAATTGATATATCAGAATAAGATAAAAAATGACTTTAGTTTTATTCGTGTTTTAGTTTAAAAATGGCTTTTAAGACAGTTTTTTAACTTTTTATTGCAGATTGAATTGTTGTTTCCTTCATTTCTTATTTCAACTCAAAGCAATTTGGAATACAAAGTTGTGCGTTTCCTACCGTAAAGACTATTATAAAAAAGTGGCTCTTTTTGTTCTACTTTATTGATATTTCGTCCTCACTTTTAGTTATCGCGTTAAAGCGTATAAATGTTTCAAAAACCTTAAATCAGTGATTCTTTTACATGTTTTCCGCCATAATTAAGAGTTGCTTTAGTTGGCAAAAAGCGCAAAGTGACAGTATCAAGAATTTCAACTGTTTTAAAGTTGATAAATTTCATTTCACTTTTGACCAGACAATAATTTTATGCCTAACAACGGCATTATCGTTCTTGAAATCTCTTCTGATTTTATCACGACGACTACTATGTTTTATGTGTCGTCAATAATTTAGAGTATTTATTTTTGATTCTACAACCAATTCGTGCGAATTCGTTCTGTTTTGTCTGTTCAACTTTTCTTAAAAAAAGAAATTCATACTTCCTGTAAACTTTGATTTTTAAAACTATGAGACTGATTTGGAAATACAATTACATTGTACAAATCAAAATGTTTTTACGCATGTAGTTGTCATTTTAAGACTTGTAGTTCTGTTTTTACGATAAATTAGCTCTTGGTATAAAGTGTATGAGAAATGGAAAGATGTATCGACCAGCAACTTTAGTGTAACAAAAAAAGGCCTATAAACTGTTTGCATTTAAGCAATGTTTTGGTGATATTAATAAATGTTTGAACTGAGGCTCTTGTATCACCATTAATTTTCTACAAATATTAGATTCCAAGTCATAGAGCATTGCAGCATCAAGCCTTTAAAACACCTTTTCTTTATTTTGAGGTACAAATTAACGAGTGTATATGTCACTTTAAAAAATTGCTCTATTTAAATGTTAGGTTTGTTTTAAAAAATTGTTTTTATTTTTAAACTGTATGCACATCGTTCTTCCGTTTGTTGAAATAATATATGTATTCTGGCAATTTTTTGAATATTTTATGTTCAAAATACATTATACGTATTTTATTGAAAGGTGCCAATAACATTTTTTTTTTTTGAATGAAATTCTTAACTAACCTGATTCTCAAAAAACATAAATTCTGATAAACTTTATGAACATATCTGATTGCCTAAACAGTTGGTGACTATTCAAACTTTAACGAGGCAAAAATTGGTCACAGAGAGGTAAATTTTTTAGGCAAATTCGTTTTTTTTTTCAGACTTTTTTTTTTAAAATCTATGATGTAAAATAAGTGTTTATAACTTTCCCCCACATAAGTATTTCTGTGCGACAGCATTTTTTTTTGTCGACTTTGACCATACTTTTTACAACTTTTAAAAACCACTTAGTGTTTTTATGCAATTTTTTGCAGACCTGTTAGGCTTCAAGATTTTTGCAAAAGCTAAATTTAATAAACTAAATCGATCTAATTTTCCAACAGTGTTGTTCACCTAATGTTCCTCGCAAAAGAAAAGTTCTGAGATGAATTTTTTTGAACAACTGACGATAAAGTTGTTTGGTTCAAGGAGTAATATTTTTTTATTAAAATAATATTCACTGCTATCAAATGACAATATTTATTCTGGGAAGAAAATCATTTGAAAAGTCTTAATCATGCTCAAAGTGTATTATAAAAATATCAAGTTTTTTTGCTTATAATGTTCTATTTTCATTTTTAAACAAAAAAGTAATTAGGAAAATACTAAAGAAAATCTGCAATCGTTTGTTTGAAACAATGTCGTTTTTCATGCTTTAAAAGCTTTTTATTTGACAAATTTGTTAAGAACAAAAGTACTGCAGATGTAATTTTTTTATTAGACCAAAAAAATTTTTTAAAAAATCTTTTGATATCAGCAAAGCCAAAAAATCTGTTGGAATTTCTGATCACTCAGCAGTCTAATTTTTATGCCAGTCACTTTTAACGCGGTATGCAACATAGTAGAGAAATAAGGCTAAAAATAGGCAAAAAACTTCACATAGGGAGGTTGAGAAGGCACAGAAAAGAAGAAGAACTCCTACGAGAAACAGTTCACCACTTGTTAATTCTCTGTTTAATTCTTCTGGACATTCTTCGCAATTTTTTACGCCTTGTTATATTTTTACTTCTGAAAATTTGGATTTCATTGTAGGGACTGTTGATTGCATCACCTTTTGGGCATTCAGCCAATTCACGATTCTAGCATTTGGTTCAAAGGAATTTTCGCAACCTGAGCAGAAAAACCTTTATAGTTGGCTCAAAAATGGAACATGCAGCAGCAAAGATTTGGAAGGAACTTTGTAAGAGTTTATTCTTTACAAATTTTTGCATTTCTGAACTATAACTTTTGAATATTAAAGCGGTGCTCTGACAGATGCTACAACTGTAATTGCCGACACTGCACGCATGAGTTTTTGGGGCTTCCTATTGAGAAGGGAAAAGGAGACTGATTCTTGTTTTGAAGGATCTGAAAGACAGCTCTCATCGCTTTTGTCATCATTAAAGTTCTCTGACGCATATACCAAAAACGAAATTCTTAAAACTTAAAATTTTGGCATTTTGCGGAAAAATTTCAAGAAAGCTTTTCTGGACAATTTAAATGTTTAAATTTAGACTCACAGTAGCATGTAGAGAACTTTATTTCTAGCCTATCAATGAAAACCCTTAGTAACAGACAATGCAAAATTTCAATTTTTCCAGCATGAAGCTTGACAGAGACATCTGGTGATGGTTATTATACATTTAGGATGTCTATTCTAAAAAGATTGTATAGTCATAAAGATATTCTAATAACGAGCAATCGAAAAAACTGTGTTAGACGGGTTAGGGGCTACAGGGTAGTTTACGTATTACTTTTTGAGCTGTTCGTGTTTATCGCCTAAGCTTACTACAGTTCCAGAAGATTTTTTGTCGATGGCATTCATTCCGAAGGAAGTCCATGCTTATCAGATATCTCCAAAACACGACTAAACTATTTTAGTTTTAGGAGTCAAGAATGGGTTTTTCATATTACGCGTCTTTCTTTTGCAGTGGCTTTTGCTTTTCGTTCTTCAGAAGACTCAATTTAGAGTATTCAGCCCAAAGCCAACACGCACTTGTTAAAATGTTCCACGAATGATATGTCTGATACGCTGGTCTGACGAAGGGCCACTGATTGTTTGTTTGAGCTACGTGCCTCTCTGCGCTGCCCTGTGTTTCTGTAAGAGCCTGAAGAAGATCTTAAAAATCTTTGACCACCCACACCACTCACAGTCAGCTTATACTCAATAGATGATATTAAAGACGGACTACTCAACTTGCTAATCTAGTTTGGGGGTTACTAATCGTATGTTTAAGTTACACATCTTTTTTGAAATAGTGTATGTTAATGTAGCTCTAAGGGTCTTCAAAGCTGCAGTTGTATTTCTGATCGGATTGAAACAGTTGAACGGCTTGTTTCTGTAATTTTTAGCTGTTGTAAGATAATTCCTAACCGAAGTCTTCAAACGGGTTGCAAATCTTTTGGAACTTCTATAAGTTCTTGCAGGAAACAGGGACTAGCTGAAAAAGGGAAACTTAATTCAAATAAACAATTGCTGACTGGCATAGTTCAGTTGTTTTTTCTTCAAGCAGTATAATGAAAATACGGTACCTCTAGAATGAACATCTCAGTTATGTAAAAACCGTCACAAAATGTTACCTGTATTAAGCTTCATATGAAAGTGCTCTAGCAGAAGCATCTTGCACGGTGGCAAGATTTTCAGCATTAGGCTAAAAATGACTGTCGCTTACAAATTTTTTTTGATTGTGCCATAATAATTTAACATTTTTTGCAGCAAAGAAGATAATAATTATTTTATCAGCTCAGAAACGGAAGCAAATTTAGCAATACAAGTAGCAAGAAATAAACTTAAGCTCTGTAACAACAAAGGAATCTCTACGAAATTTAAAACCTGCCGCATACCTTTCAATTAGTAATCACTTAAATGTGTTTTATATGTTTTATTCAAACCGTTTCACATATTATGTTTTCTGCCGTAAACAGTTATAAATCTGTTTTGCTAATAAAACTGTAAGGCAGCGTCTTAGCTAAATTAAGCTTTGACTTTGGCTTGGTACGTGCTTCTGGCTTATGTTAAATTCTCAAATTTGCTTAGGTTGTATTACCACAAACGAACAGCAGTACTACTGTTGACGCTTATCCCACCTAAAAAGATGCATTTTTTAACAGCGTTTTTTTGCTGACAAATAGATTCATTCTTAAAGATTTAAGGCACATGAGTTGCCAGCTTGCTGGCTTTGTCTTTTCAGATAATTTTGACGATCGGTGGGCTGCAAAAAGGAGAAGCGATATCCAGGGTTTGCGAGGTGTAGCAATAATTTATGTTCTCATCTTTCATCTTTGGCCTGAGGTTTTCCCTTATGGATACCTTGGAGTTGACATTTTTTTTGTCATTTCTGGATACCTGATAACTTTTATTCTTTGGAACCAGAAACCTTTTACTGTCAAGGTGTTTCTGTCATTTTACAAAAAACGAATAAAACGGATATTCCCAGCTTACTATCTGATGCTTTTTTTCGTTCTCAAATTCGGCTGCTTCACGTTAACTGCAATAGATTATTCTACTTTACGCGGCGAAGCATTATGGGCTAGCAGTTTTGCCACGAATATATTGAAATATTATCAGGATTTGAACTATTTTGCTGAGGTATTTTTAATAACTTACAAATCAAAGTTTAGAAAGAAACAGTTTTTAAATGATATTAATCGAGTGGAACTGCGCCTTCTAGTTAAAGCAGATAAATGTTTAAAAATTACCATTTTTTTACGCATTTGCTGAAATATATTTTCTAGATATCAGGCTATGATTTCCTTCTTCATACCTGGTCGCTAGCAGTAGAAATTCAATTTTATTTGATTGCTCCAGTTTTGATGCTTCTGCCCTCTGTTTTGCCTTGGGGTGGTACTGCGTTATGGTGTTTGATTGCTCTTGCTTCCTTATACTACAATTTGGTATCTAAAGGGCCGTTACAGTTCTCTTCACTCTTCTCCCGATTATGGCAATTTTGCTGCGGTGGCACTGCTTATTTTCTTTCCGAAAGTATGTAATACACTTGTTATTATTCGGTTCAAAATGAGCTTTTAAAGACTTATTATTGTCAGTTATATAATAAAAAAAATGACTGAAATTGTTCTGTTTTAAGTAGCTTCTGCAAAATATTGATGCTTTCAGCTTCGATAGGGCAGCAAAATACACCTATTCTTGTTGTAAGCATCTTCTTATTATCGCCATTTATCTTTCTTTTGCCACTTAAAAGTACACAGTTTCGAATTATGGTTACATCAGCTACATCTGTTGTTATCTGGATGAATAATAAACTAAGCAATAAGTGTATATTTGGCAATTCTCTTCTTTGTTTTTTTGGCGAAATTTCATATTCTATCTATCTTTATCACTGGCCACTTATTGTGCTTATAAAGTATTATTCAGAAATCAATGCAATAAGTTTTACAGGTACTTCTGAATATAACTAATAGGTTGCTAAGTGTCCTTAAAAACTGTTATATTTGGATCCGCCATTAAGCAGTTGAAATGAAAATAATTTTTGTTTTCTTCTTTCAGATGCTATTTTTGCTATGGAACTCTCAATTTTAGTCGGTGTCGTTTCGTATTGGCATGTTGAGAAGAGATTTCTACGATTAGAGCTCTCTCATACTATTTATTTCCTTATTGTTGTGGTATTTGGTATACTGCACATGACATCATTGAGACCGACATCTGTCTTGTCAACACTTGACTCGTCAGCACTAATAAACAGAACCTGGAATATAGAAAGTGCTGTCAAGACTAGGTTTGGTAAGCTTTCTTCGCTTGGAATAACTTCAAGTATAAATTTTAACTAATTTAAGAGACTCAACAAAGTATGTTGATGCACTATCATTTAAAAACTCCTCTACCCTGCAGGTTTGAAGGCTATTTACAAAAGCTATGATTATAATGACAAGAGTTGGACAAAGTTTTCTTTAGTATAACCGTTACTAACAGCGTTTTTTAACACACCTCCTACTGGCTTGTCAAGAATTTGATTTAGTTTTTTAGGGGCCAACTGCTACCACTTCCGTGATGTTCCTTACCTTCCAACAAATATACCAGATTCTATAAGAAAACAGGCGATTGAAGAAAACAACTTTTTTTTGAAAGCTATTTTGCCGTTTTACAGGAAAGACGACAACTTGACTGACCCGCTGTATGAAAAGCATTTTGTAAAAAACGGAGTTGCAATTGAATTTGCCGATTATTTTAAGGTGTTCTTGAATTTCGAAAGGTTTTTTTCTCTTTTTAGATCGTGTACCTGTTACCTTGTTCGTCTTTTTTTCAGAAAACTGAGTTTTTAGCTTTTTTGTTTTTTCTTTTTAACTGTATCTTTTAGGGGACTGGGAATTTAACAGTGGCAGTGATAGGCAACAGCTTTGCTCATAGCAGCTTTTTCGCAGTAGTTGAATCTTTCGCTGAAGATATCAAAGAAATACGCCTATTGTCCAACTCTGTTTGCCACCCGTTTTTTAACTTGACGGAAAGTTATAGTGAAGAATATCGCAATGTTTGTCTTCATTATTTAGACAAAACCGTTGCTGTCGTTGAAGAAATGAAACCTGATTTAATCTTTCTGATCTTTCTGTAAGTTTCTTCTGCCTCAAATATAAATGGAAAAATGGTTTGCATAGTATCGAGCAGGTAAACTCTGTGTTATACGGTTATCTTAGACCAATGAATGGCGCAATCACAAAGTTTGACAGTATTGAAAATGACAAATATACGAAGTCAATGCAAAGGACTTTATACTTGTACTCACAAATATCGAGAGCTGTCATTCTGCAAATGCCGTTTCCAGCTCCCTTACAGTATGCTGTCTTCAAAAAAATTTTTGTCAAGAATTTTTTGAAATTGTTGCTTGTGTATCAGTTTTTTGTTGGAGTCACAAGTGAACGCAAAGGACCACGATTAGGTTACAGAATTGCGTTTAGGTTTAAGAATTCTGCTGTTTAAAGAAAGTTTTCAAACTTTGTTTCATGAGGAGAAAATCACACTCGCAATCGATTCTTGAAGAACTAATGTTTTTCTAGAAAATTTTATTATCCTGTATTGGTTTTCTAATCAGAGCATTGAATGCTCAAATTAATTAAATATTCAACATTTTTATGAAGCGTACTTTATTCAGAATTAGTACGAGGTTGATCTTGAAAAGTCTAGAAAAGAATCTCAGTTTTTCTGGCGTTTACGGCGAGTTTGCTGAATTTCGGCGATCGTTTCGATACGCATTTCAACGCCTGGAGAATTTGTGGTGCAAAAATTGTATAAAAATTTATCCGCATAGAATGTTTTGCGATTCAAAAGTTAGTTTATTATTTTTACAGAATTAATACAACAAGAACTAATTTAAAACTTGTTTCTTGAAATTTTTTGTAGTTAATGGTACAAAGTTCAATAAATGAACGAGATTCATATTGAAGAAGTAGGAAAACAGTTTGTTCTCTAATATCACTTTTGCCGATTTCTAAAGTTGCAGTAATTAAGAATTTTGCAGAGCATTTCTTGGTTTCATCAGTGTTTTTTTTACGAAAAGCTTTTTTTGACTGACTAATTTTAGTAATGCTGTTAGAAGAAAAAAAAAAGCTGTTAATTAATGATGCTCTAAAGTGAATAACAAATTTTGCATGCAAATACGCTTAGAACAGGTACTCTTACAAATTTCAAACATATAAGCCAGTTTCAGATTTGCCGAGTGTTTGACCCCGATAACATGTTTTCTTTCTTTGATTACGCACATCACCTTAACAATTATGCCCACATATGTATCAAAAAGCTTTATCGTGAAACACTGGACGAACTAATCGTGGACGGTTACTTTAATTAAGCGTGTACAACTAAATGTGAATGATTTATTTTGGGATTATTATCTCTGAAATAAGCTTACTAGTCGTCATTGGAGTAAATGCAACTAACAGGTGTTGAGACTAATTCAAATTGCTGTGATTATCTTTGGTAATACCTTTTTTGTGTTGATTATAATACTTTTTATTTACAGCTTCAAAATTCTTATTTAAGTACAGATCTTTTCATTTGTTTTATATTCGTTGCACTATTTGTAACTTTTTGGCACTTATTTTTTATACAGCTTTAACATTTTGTACAGGAGATTGTATTGCAACCTGAAACTAAGAAGTAGTAGAAACAAGAAAACTTACCTTTATTTTAAATTAGGTAAATTTAGAAACTTAGAACGAGTAGGAAAAGATTTAGAAGTGAATTTTTGTTGTATGAAGTTTTATTTAATACTTCGTACTTGAGAATATTTTTAAAAGATTCTAAGACGTAAGATGCTTTTGCACAAGTAAATGCGGTGTTGTACAAATAATGTCGTTGTCGAGTAATGGAATATACTGATGTATTTTCCGACGTTGTATTAAAAATGTACAATTGGCGCCTGCAGATCTTAATTATTTGATTTAACATATTTCTAAGGTATGTATTCCGATCACTTAAAGTTTTTAAAGTAATACTTAATCTGTTTTTTTTCTCAATAAAATAAAACCAACTGTAATATTGAATGTCAAGTTAGCGCAAAATGCAATCTCTTCTTTGCTGTCGCTCCATATAAATTGTTGGTATAAAAATAAACCCAAAGAAAAGTAACCGTTATTAAAAGCAAAGTTGTAAAAGATTGTTTGAAAAGTTATTGATAAAAACTTAAAATTGGCTCTATGTTCATCAGTATTTACTAGTGGCTTAATATTTAAGAAATACCTTTTCTATCATCTTATGTAGCAAAGAATCTTCAAACCGTATTCCTATATGTTTATTCTTCCATTTTTGTTTTCAACGTTTCTCGAGTAGCAGAATTTTTTAACCTTTGAAGTAATTTTTTATCACAGATAACAAATGTTTAACGTGCTTTACGTGGTTAGCGTTTACAGATCAAACTAGATACCTCTAATTGTTATTTCATTCGCAAAAAAAACATCAGTAAACAAGAACCAAAACAATTAACTTAAAATTGATTTTTTAGACCAATTATTAAATATTTCTACAAAAATTTAGTTAGTTAGCAAAAAAACGACTTTATGCAAACTTCTCATTTAAAAATTTAATTCAAATTGCAGTTTCAGTTCGACAAGTAGTTTCTTTTTTAATTTTGCAGTGTGATGAAAATCTTCATCTGCTGTATCTTGCATTAATAAATGAAGTTTTTGTGCCAGTTGACTGATGACCACATTTCCTTTCTTTCAGCAAGTAATTTTCTTAAACGTCCCCGAATGTCTAAAAACTATTTGTTTTACTTAGAAGTCTAAGTCGAGTCATCCATTGAAGAAATGCCAGCTGCTCAGAATCTTTCAGCGTTAAAGCTCTACAATATTGATGTAAAGCGACATAGAGAAAGCAATCAAAAATCTACAGTCCACAAGAAAACGATAAGAAATATGACTAAGATTCCAACAAAAATAGCAGATATTACAGTTAAAGACAATTCCCTTACTAAAAAATGTACGCGACTATTACAGAAATGACAACCCACTTGCAGTTTCGTATTATTTTCAAGCTGATAATTTGCAATTTTGTCAGAATTAACAAAGCAAATCCTGGTACTATATAAAGCATAAAACCTCCCTTAAATCTGAATTTTTAAAAAATATTTAGAACGCCATTTTCACACCCTAGTAATTTTGAACTTTCTTCTTTGTTGTTCTCAACCATCTCCTTTATGAGACCAAAGCACCCAACAGTATTCAAAATTAATGACAATGACAACTAAATGAAATAGAGTATCGTTAACGACTGCTGAACGACAAGCGGAAATACTAAACAAAAGTTCGCACACTTTCAACTTCTACCAAACAATTTGAAAAAATCACTTTTTATATCCTCTTCCTAACCTTTAAAAAACTGGACGAGACTCTCCTGACCACCAAAACTTAAAAATTCTTAAGCGCTAACCCAAAGAAAGCTTGATTTTTGGCACAGAGCAGCCCACTTCAAATGTCAAGCCTTGTGCAGTCATATTTGATCGTGCCGAGGGAAAACCCCCAAACTAATTTTAGATCAACGTGTCTCCTTTTCCGCCTTATACGTTGTCCATATGCAAGTAAAGTAACGTTTGCTTTTTTTCTCGGTGAGCGCAGCGCCAAAGTCGTACTGTCGCCTGTCAGGTGCCACAACTTATCACGAATTCCAAACGCGTTTTCCTTCGCACGAATTTGAGAACCTTTCATCGCTATTCACGACTGAAAGACTAGTCAATGAGAAGGCGAGTAGGTTTGTCTCAGTCAGGTGGTCCCATGTCTCTTTGTGATTGTAATGAAAAAATGGGTAAAAAATACAGGCCGCCAAACTGAAAGAGTCCTGATGCATTACATTAAGATGCACACACTTTTAAACTTTTTTCTAAAGGTCAGTCCAAAGTTTTAATGCTCGCAAACTTTTGGTTCCTAACCCCCCTCCACGTTCACCGCTTACGCCTTCCACTTCAATTGGTCATAAAGATAGATAAACAATAAAAAATTGATCCTCACTAGGTCGAAAAACTAGTCAGTAAAAAAGTAAATGTGATTTGCCAAACAGAAATCGCTTTTTTGAATGTGTTACTGCAACAGCGCATTAAAACCATATCAATCTTACAGCAAATGCGGAACATTTACCGCCTATCTAAACGTTTCATTCATTTGAAGCTGTTCATCGTACGGTCCTCCGTTACAGCAGCCCTTCAACAGCAAACACGCTAGGATATGAAAAATCAGAACGAATGTTGAGTAGTAGCTGAATCAAACATTTATACCACGGACTTTGTACGACAACTGCGCTCCATTTCACTGTTTACGTCATTGTTTATTTATTCAGTACCAAGGAAAGAGTCACACAGCAGATCAGATACCAAATAGTACCAAGGAAAGAGGAGAATCGTTTCCTAAGTCACCATATACACTTGTCAAACTTTCATTCGTTGGAAAATGAAAACAAAGGTCAAACACGAAGAAAAAACAATGTACATTAGATTTATAGAAGTCTCGCTAAGCTATATGAGCATATCGGCAATATTATACTACCAAAATTGTACAATCCAATGAAAGACTTGCAAATGGCGCCTCAAGAGCATCTGTTGCTTCCTTTAGCAGCACCCGAAGTAGTTGTTCTGTCAACCTCAGAGAACAAAAAAGAACAAGTTTACAGGAAAAAAAGTATAACAGAACAAAAACAAGACAAACAAAAAAATCATAATTTGCAAGAGTTCGATGAGCTGTAAAGAAGATGAAGATTTATAAACTCGTTAAGCACTTAAGCACGATGAGCAATAACAAATAAAAATACCCTAAAAATGTGAGCAGAAATAGAAAAAGAAAAGTCAGAAATTATGATAACAATAGAATTTGAAGCTAACAGGACATAAGCTTTCTGCCCGGAAATTCTACGGTTTACTACAAAAATTAAAGCAGAAACAATAGCTGTCGCGTAATCATTTCAACGCAAAAACATTAAATGAGCCTATGCAAGTCTTAATTTGGCGGTTTCTAGCCAATCTCTATAAATAAAATAGACTTTTTGAGGGCGAAAAACCCCGTGAGTGAGTATTCAAAGTTTCCAATGTGTTCTGTATAAAATATGTGGAAAGTAAGTACATTTCGGATAACTTTTCAAACCTTCCCAGATAGCCCCCATTACAATACATTGGAAAAATCATCAATCAAAAGAAATCTTAATAGTATAATAACCGAAGCAACTCTTATTATCACAGTCACTTTAGAAAAATTAAGCAAAAATTAACGGAAGAGCAAACTATTTATAAATGATTATATTGCAAGAAAACGACCCGATTATGATAAATTTGGCTCAAACAGTACCGCTCCTCTGATCCAAAAACAGTCGTGGAACTTCTCGACCATCCATTCATCAATGAACCTGAGCCGAACGCCAGTATCTAAATTCAGAGTACGGACTCAAATTTTTGTTGTTTCAATTGCATCAATATCATGTCCCATGCTGCGCAGTGTATCTGATGCCTCTTTCCGAACCGCAGGACTGGAATCTTCTTCCGCGACAAATAAAAGCGGCCGCAAAGATCTTGACGACTGCAAAAAGTCGGAAAAAATAAGCTTTACAACAATAAGTCTTACTGATAAAAGTTAAATTAACCTCACTTGACGAGCTCAGAAATACGTAATGCTAAAACTGCTTACGTTCAAATAGCATAGTGCTCTACAAGCACCTTTACGACTTTGGTCGTTCTCGTGTTCCAGTAGACAAATGTAGCATGTAACCAGATCATCACGAAGTTGACCTCGAGCCCGTACCATATAACATTCTATAAATTGAATTTATAGAGCAAGAGAAATATCTGAAAACGAAATCGCATGCGCAGCTTTCAACTGCACGAATAGATCGCGGTTATTTTCAAATTTTTAAGTGCCTTAATCTCAAAAACAAAAAAATATAAAAATGAAAAAAAAAAGAAAATGAATTTTACAGACCAAATATGGCTTGTAATTCTCGATCAGGGCACACTAAAACAAGCCCAATATGTCGAAGACTTTCCAGTGGTGGAACCACAGGTACTTGAGAAAGGCGTTCCATAACCTCTCGGACTATTGAGACCTGTCTAGTGCTTAAACTAGTGATAATCCACGCTAAAATAAATTTATTCAATCAAAATAAACAAAAAAATATTTGACAAAACGATAATTTTCTATTTCGGTCAAAAGATGATGAAGAAGAATTAGCAAATAAGGAGCAATAAAAGCCACGATCTTGATAACATTTTAATTACAGTAAAAGCATTAAAATTTGCTACCTTCATGAGCCAAATTTTCCACAAACGCTGTAGCATGTTTTTCTCGGAATAATGTGGTAAACTGGAAAACGCTGATCAATTCCGGTTCCCATTCAGCTTTGTCCGTTAGCAGTGACATAATTGTATCAATTACTGAAATA